CCCCTGCCTGCTATTCCCACCCAGAACTCCTGCCTACAACCCCTGCCCCCTGCCTGCAATTCCCACCCATGACCCTGTCTGCAACCCCTGCCCAGTGCCCACAACCCTGCCTGCAGCCCTGCCCACAGCCGCAGCCCTGGCAGCAGCCAGAGCAGGTCCATGCCCAAACGCGGTGCCAGGCAGGCAATGCTGGCGCTAATCAGGACTCCCTGAGCCTTGACTTGGTGCTGATGGTTCCACCGCCGAGCCACTGCCTCCTGTGCACGCTGGGGGCAAGCACTGGGGCACGGGGTGCCCTGCGGCTGCAACCACGAGACTCTGAGCTCATGTTTGCCTCCCGATCCTTCCGTGCCCTTTGGGCCTTCATGGGCATTGAGAAACCCTCTCCAGTGACGTGTGTTGCTCCTAGGAGCAAGAGGCAGAAGAAGAGCTTGGTTCCTGCAGAGAGGAGCTGGTGATGGGCGGGATGCTGCAAGGCAAACCAGGAATCACCATCCCGGCGCTCACCTCTGCCACAGCCACCCCTGAAGTGCCCAAGGTCTGCAGCTGATCCCTGCTCTTTGGCTCAGCTCTACCTGCCCAAGGACCAGACCCAGGCCTGTCTCCTTGCAGAGCAACGCTGGTTGTAGGGATGGTAACTGCTCTTTCAGGTTATAGAGATGGTAACTGCCATTTCAGGTTATTGGTAACTGTCATTTCAGGTTATAGAGATGGTAACTGCCATTTCAGGTTATTGGTAACTGCCATTTCAGGTTATAGAGATGGTAACTGCCATTTCAGGTTATTGGTAACTGCCATTTCAGGTTATAGAGATGGTAACTGCTATCTCAGGTTATAGACATAGTAACTGCCATTTCAGGTTATTGGTAACTGCCATTTCAGGTTATTGGTAACTGCCATTTCAGGTTACAGGGATGGTAACTGCTATCTCAGGTTATAGAGATGGTAACTGCCATTTCAGGTTATTGGTAACTGCCATTTCAGGTTATTGGTAACTGCCATTTCAGGTTATTGGTAACTGCTATTTCAGGTTATAGAGATGGTAACTGCCATTTCAGGTTATTGGTAACTGCCATTTCAGGTTATTGGTAACTGCCATTTCAGGTTATAGAGATGGTAACTGCCATTTCAGGTTATTGGTAACTGCCATTTCAGGTTATAGAGATGGTAACTGCCATTTCAGGTTATTGGTAACTGCCATTTCAGGTTATAGAGATGGTAACTGCCATTTCAGGTTATTGGTAACTGCTATTTCAGGTTATAGAGATGGTAACTGCCATTTCAGGTTATTGGTAACTGCCATTTCAGGTTATTGGTAACTGCCATTTCAGGTTACAGGGATGGTAACTGCTATCTCAGGTTATAGAGATGGTAACTGCTATCTCAGGTTATAGAGATGGTAACTGCTATCTCAGGTTATAGACATAGTAACTGCCATTTCAGGTTATAGACATGGTAACTGCCATTTCAGGTTATTGGTAACTGCTCTTTCAGGTTATAGACATGGTAACTGCTATCTCAGGTTATAGACATAGTAACTGCCATTTCAGGTTATTGGTAACTGCTATTTCAGGTTATAGAGATGGTAACTGCCATTTCAGGTTATAGACATGCCATTTCAGGTTATTGGTAACTGCTGTTTCAGGTTATAGAGATGGTAACTGCCATTTCAGGTTATAGACATGCCATTTCAGGTTATTGGTAACTGCCATTTCAGGTTATAGAGATGGTAACTGCCATTTCAGGTTATAGACATGCCATTTCAGGTTACTGGTAACTGCTGTCTCAGGTTATAGACATGGTAACTGCCATTTCAGGTTATAGACATGCCATTTCAGGTTATTGGTAACTGCTATTTCAGGTTATAGAGATGGTAACTGCCATTTCAGGTTACAGAGATGGTAACTGCTATCTCAGGTTATAGAGATGGTAACTGCCATTTCAGGTTATTGGTAACTGCCATTTCAGGTTATAGACATGCCATTTCAGGTTATTGGTAACTGCCATTTCAGGTTATAGAGATGGTAACTGCCATTTCAGGTTATTGGTAACTGCCATTTCAGGTTATAGAGATGGTAACTGCCATTTCAGGTTACTGGTAACTGCTATCTCAGGTTATAGAGATGGTAACTGCTATCTCAGGTTATAGACATGCCATTTCAGGTTATTGGTAACTGCCATTTCAGGTTATAGAGATGGTAACTGCCATTTCAGGTTATTGGTAACTGCCATTTCAGGTTATAGAGATGGTAACTGCCATTTCAGGTTACTGGTAACTGCTATCTCAGGTTATAGAGATGGTAACTGCTATCTCAGGTTATAGACATGCCATTTCAGGTTATTGGTAACTGCCATTTCAGGTTATAGAGATGGTAACTGCCATTTCAGGTTACTGGTAACTGCTATCTCAGGTTATAGACATGGTAACTGCCATTTCAGGTTACTGGTAACTGCTATCTCAGGTTATAGACATGGTAACTGCCATTTCAGGTTACTGGTAACTGCTCTTTCAGGTTATAGACATGGTAATTGCCATTTCAGGTTACTGGTAACTGCTATTTCAGGTTCTAGAGATGGTAACTGCTCTTTCAGGTTATAGAAATGGTAACTGCACTTTCAGGTTATTGGTAACTGCTATTTCAGGTTCTAGAGATGCTAACTGCTATTTCAAGTTATTGGTAACTGCTATTTCAGGTTATTGGTAACTGCTATTTCAGGTTATTGGTAACTGCTATTTCAGGTTATTGGTAACTGCTATTTCAGGTTATTGGTAACTGCTATTTCAGGTTATTGGTAACTGCTATTTCAGGTTATTGGTAACTGCTATTTCAGGTTCTAGAGATGGTAACTGCCATTTCAGCCCACTCCTCAATGTGCTTTTAACTGGAGGTTTACATAACCCTCTGCCCACACGCAGGAACTTCAGCTCCGGAAGAGGAAATCTCTACAGGAATCTGTTACCTCCATAGGTTCAGCACTAGAAGAGCAGGGAAGGAGCCCTCCTCCTCCTCCTCCTCCTCCTCCCGGGCTCTGCCTTGCTGGAATGCCACACATGGACTTCCAGCTCTCCTGGTGATAAAGGCATCATCGCTCTTACCACGTCTCCACAGCAGGAAACCTTTGTCCCAGACCACAGAGCACTGGTGATGCAGCAGCTGAGCACGGGGTTTGGAATCTCTCCTAACTGACTGCATTGCAGGGCCCACACTCCTTATGCAGCTGAACCTCCCTACTCCTTTCCCTGGCAGCTGATAGGGGAAGGAAACGAGTCCCGGAGCAAAGAGGATGCAATAAGCAATGCAGGTTTGCTCCTGATGGGATTCTTGCTCCTGAAACACACACAGAAAGGGAAGGTGCAGCCAGCTCCTTGCATCCCAGGCTGCCCCAAGCTGGCTGCAGGCAGTGATTTGCTGCTAATGCCACATCCTCTAGGAAGCTGCAGGACTGTCCCGGAGGAGTCACTCTGCACTGATGGATTTTGCTTTCCCTGGTGAAACAGGACTTGCACCACCTCTTGCCACAGCACATTCCAGGCTTTTTTTTTTGGCTGATCCTGCCCAAAGGGAACCCAAAGCCTCGATTTCAACAGCTCCACCAACCAAATATAGCACCGCATGTGGTAAGAGGAGGGGAAATTGCTCCCCAGAGCACAGATGCTCCATCGCTACCACACAAACCAAACCCAAAGCACAGATTCATTCCTGGCTGCTGCCTTTATCGGGGAAAGAATGGCATTCCCTGGGGTTGAACCACTGCCTTCCATGAGCTCTGCGAATCAGGGCAGTGATTTGCACCTCCAGTACAGCCACTCCGACGTCCTGTTCTCGGCCTGCCAAGAGGATGGAATCAAATCGCATCCCGGGACACTCGTCTCCCCCTTGGCTCACCTCATCCCTGCAGGCTGACAGCCACATGTGCTCCCAGACACATCCAACGAGCTGCAAAGGTCAGTCCCGTGCACGCAGCCCCGGCTGGGACTGACGTGGGATCCACCAGGGTGCCTTGAGGACACGGGCTGGCCATCAGAGCCAAAGGGTGATGGCTCCTGGAGCACCAGTGGACCCCAAAGCAGGCACTCCGAGAGGGAACGCGGCCACAGAGACAGCCTGGCTGGTGCTCGGTCTGAGTTGCACAACCTCCCCATAGGGTCCTATTAAAGAGCAGAGACCTTGAGACACCCTAATTACAAAACAACATTCAAAAGGTGTCAGGGTTTATTATCTCGTCACACAGAGCAATGATTCACTTCACGTGTGCTGTATAACCAGAAGGTTAACAGGAGGATGGGCTGCCTCCCTGCAGGAGGATGTTTACCATTCAAAAGTGGCTTTTCCCCCAAGCGACCTGGAAAACACTTCCCAGCATCCCATTGTTTGAGGATGCCCTTCTCCAATGCCTTTCTTCTGCTCACACCTCTCCTTTCCAACAGCAGAACAATGCAGGGGGGGCACCATGCACTGGCTCACCAGGGCACAGGAGGCACGGCACGACATCAGCTCGCAGCCAAGAGCTGCCAACCTGGTCCCTTTCTGCAGCACTTCGGTGCCAAAGGATACCCCACAACGACACGGGATGGGAGGAAGCTGAAGATGCACCCAGGGAAGGGCGAGCCTGGGGTCACGGCTGCACGTTGCAGTGTGGTACCCCACATCTCACAAGCGTTTTGGCTCTCTAGGGCTGCGGCTACAGATGGGGCCTGCCTGGGGAACCTCTGTACAGTGATGGAGATGAAGAGGATGCAGAGCCCTCTGGGTCTCCCCACGGAGACCTTTCCATCGTGGGTATCTCGACGGTTCAACAATTCAATCTATGGCTTCAAACCTCTTTTAGTTCATCTATTGCCAAGTTATCAGCTGGGGCTGAGCTCCCGGGGTTGGGTTTCGGTGGCTTTGTGAGGGTTTATTGCTATTTCATTGCCAGCAGTGCGTAGCAGAGATTTAGCAGAGCTGGGACTCTATGGAGCCTCCTCACCGGGCCGCCTGCTGCGGCTTGAGGATGTGCTTTCACAATCCCTTTCTTTCCAGTTTTTCCAGTATGGCCTGGATTCTGTGGACGGATTCCTTCCTGGCCTGCCGAACACTGTCCTGGCCCCCCGTCTCCACGGAATCCAGCTCCAGCAGCAGCTTGGTCAGCATCTCCTCCAGCAGCCGGTAGGATTTATCCGTCTTTTTCCCTACAAACTCATCCACCTCCTCCTCCAGCTGCTCCGCCTCCCCCATAACGTGCAGGATCCTCTGGATTCCCGGCCGGATGCCTGCGGAATGCGCTGTGGGTCGGTGCTCCCCAGGTTGAAGCTCCCTATTCCCGGCCCAAGGCTTCCGAGGCGTGCTGTCATAGAGCTGGGGCTGGGCGCTGTACTGCACCTTGGGGTGCTGGGGGGCTGCTGCGTGGTCATTCACTGTCCCATAGGGCTGGTGGTTGCCATCGGGGTAGTAGCTGTGATGGTTTGTGCCGTGCTCGGGTTTATCATAAGCAACGTCCTAAGGCAGGAGGAGAAAAAGCCTTTTAAGTGGTTTTGCCTAAAAGCCAGGGGTTTCTCTCTTATCTGACACTTGCTTTGAGCTGTGCTCAGTGGGGGGGACACAGGGCAGTGATACAGGCAGCATCTTCTGCACCCAAGTCCTGCCAAGAGGTCCCAAAGAGGCACAGGACCCACACGCCACTAAAGAGAGATGCCAATGAGGGTCCTGTTTGGGCATCCCAAAGACACTTCTCTGCAGGTGGCTGTTCCCAAGGGATAGCAGCGCCCATCCCTAAATCCCTGCTGCATTGATCCTCCTGATCAAACCCTGACATGAACAGACCACTCCAAATGCATCATTTCCTTCTGCTTTGGGCTTAAAACATCCCTCAGTAAGTAAGGGATGGCTGTGCCCAAAACAAGCACTTGAAGAGGAATTCCAAAGGCTGCAGACTGGCCCTTGGGGAGTCCCATGCTCTTCACTGCTTGAGAGAGGTTGTTGGACAAGGGCTGACCCATTTCCCTGCCCTGGGATGCCCGATATCTCCCGTGCCTTTCTATAGCTCCAGCCCTGCCTTTTGGTCTCGTGTATGCAAAGAGGTGGTTTCGCTGCAGCACCTGGATCCCTGCTGCTTTCTTTCTACCTAAACTAAATGTGCTCAGGGAAAGGGGCATTCCCAGGAGACAGAGGCAGGGTTTGGGGAGGTCTGCCCCCAACCAGGACCCAGCATCACCTTGCACTGCATCACTGCATCATCAGCATCAACGCTACCTTTGAGTCCCATGCAGTGGGGTGGGAAGTTGCTCCGCTGCTGGTCCAGGATGGGTGCGAATCGGCCACGAAGGGGTTCCCATGCACTGAAGTGGATGCCCATGGGTACCGTGGCTGCACCCCATAGACAGGGTGAGGAGCCCATGTGTCCTCCAGGGCTCTGGGCTGCGGTGGGGGGGTGACCCCTGAGCTGCTGTCTCCATAGGGATACTGCGGGATGGGCATTCCCGGTGTCTGCAAGAGGAAGAGAAGAACAGGAGTTACCCATGGAGTCACTGCTCCCTCCAGGCAGCCCCACCAACAGCCTTGCTGCTGGCTCCTGCTTTCCTTGCCCTCAACCTTGGAGTCTCTGTAGAGATATTGGAAGTTTCCTTATCTCCAACCTAAATCTCCCCTATTTCAGTCTGAACCCATCACCCCTTGTCCCATCCCTACAGCCCCTGATGAAGAGCCCGTCCCCAGCATCCTTGTAGCCCCCTTCAGACCCTGCAATTGGGCTCTTACCTGCGGTGGGGAGTAGCTGGGACCCTGCTGCTGCCTCCGGAGCGAGGAGCCCTCGTTGGGACCCTCCGGTGCCGCGTAGCTCCAGGGGGGAGCCGGTGATGGGCACCGGTACCTGCCGGTGGGCTCAGAGGTGTAAGGGGACCCGGAGCAGTGGTACCCCCGTGGCAGCCCCGTGTAGTGTGGGGCAGCACCAGGAGGGTAGGAGGGGCTGTAGGCTCCATTGGCGTAGGGAGAATCCATGGCCTGGGAAGGAGGGAAGAGCAGAGGAGAGGTCATGGGCTGTGGCTATGAGGCCAAGGGACCCTTCCTGCAGCCTTTATATCATCCCCAGGATGGGTTTCGTGCTCTGACGTTGGCCACCGTCAATGAACGCGTTTGATTCACGCTGTGGTCACAGCGCAGGGGACGTTGCAGCAGGTTGGTGTGGCCGGGGGGGGAGGCTCAATGGCTCAGCAATACCTCTCCCATTGCCCCCCCCCCCGGGGCAAACAGCTCCGAGGAGCCTCAACCACGTCACTGGTGCATGAAAACCGCTCCAGGAACGCTCGTTTCCCCTTTCAGTCTGCGAAGAGAAATGAGGCAAGAGGACGGGATCCACCAGTTCTGGGGCCCGAGGGCGCTCCGATCCCCCGAGCTGCGGGAGCACGAGGACACGGGATCATGGAATGGGATTGGAAAGGACCTTAAAGCTCACCCATAAAGCAAGGACACCTTGCACTGGAGCAGGGTGCTCCAAGCCCCTGTGTCCACCCTGGCCTTGAGCACTGCCAGGGATGGGGCAGCCACAGCTTCTCCATTCAACCCATCCCAGCATCCCAAAGAGCTCATCTCCATCTCCCCCCTGGCAGGTTAAAGCCATTCCCTTTGTCCTGTCCCTGCAGGCCCTTGTCAACGGGTGGAGCTCGCGGAGCCTCCCCATAGCTTTGGGCACAGCAGTTTTTCCCCATGAGCCGTTTGATGGAGGAGAGATCGGGATCAAACCTGCGCATCCCATGGGATTAGGACAAACCCCGGCTGTGCCCGCACAGCAGGAGCACGACGAGCGAAGCCTTTCTCTTCACGCAGCGTTTGTGCAACAGCCCCTAAAAACCGCTGTTGCTGCAATAGACCCAAATGGGCCCCAAAGAGCAAAGTGGCAGGAGCGGAAAGCAACGGGCACCGGGATGCTTCTTCCCTGCGGGAAGCGCGGGTCCGGTTGGATGCGCGGCTCTCCCCCGCTCATCCCGGCTCCAACCACCCGGGGCCGGCAGCATCTCCGCGGTGATCCCAGCGTTGGAGCCCGGCTCCCAGCCGTGTCACCTTGGACGGCGCCCGGGGACAAAGCTCCTCCGCGCCCGTTTAAACGCGTTTAAACGCGGTTCCCAGCTCGGGGATGCTCTCAACGCGAACGGATCCGTTCGGAAACCAGGGGATGCGCGGCGGCCCCCGCCCGGCCGAGGCCCCGCGGCTCTGCCCCAGGGCACGGAGACCGCGGCTGCCCCACCGAGAGGGGCGGGATCGCGGCTCCCTCTTCCCCCCACTCCCTGCCGCCGGTCCGGTCCGGTCCGGTCCCCGTTACCTGCGCCGCTGCCGGCGGGCGGGAGGACCCGGGGGCCCACAGCGGGCCCGGCTCTGCCGCGCGATCGCAGCGCTCCATGGCGGCCGCGCCACCGCCCCGCCTCACCGCCAATCAGCGGCCCGGCCCCCACCTCGGCTGACCAATCACCGGCCGCCTTGCGCGCACGGCTGGCGCGTCTTAAAGGGGCAGCGCCACACCGAGCTCCTCCCGGTTACGAGGTGGTTCCGGGGCGGCACCGGCGGCACCGGCGCATGGCGGCGCTTCCGCCGCGGGCAGCACCATGAACTACATGCCCGGCACGGCCAGCCTCATCCAGGACATCGACAGTGAGTGCCCCGGCCGGGCTCCATCCAGCGGGTCCCCGGTCCCTGTGGATGCTGCATCCCATGGGGCTGCTTGGACCCCCTGCCCCGTGGGCTGAGCTCCAGTGCGGGGTTCCTCGCTGGTTGAGCATCACTGGGTCCCCCCGCGCTGTGGGTTGGGGTCCGGGGTGTCCATCCCCGTCTGAACCCCGCTTTTCTCCTCGTGTCCCGCAGAGAAGCACCTGGTCCTGCTGCGGGACGGGCGGACGCTCATCGGGTACCTGCGCAGCATCGACCAGTTCGGTACGGGGGCACCTTGGGGGGGGTTGGATGTGCCCCGGTGCCAGGCGTGTGTTGGGACGGGCAGCGATGAGGAGGAAGAGGAGAGCCCCATAGGTACCCGTTTGTAGGAGCTGGGTGATGCTCCCGGGGTCACCAGAGGAGCTCCCTTCCCAAGCAATAAAGAGGGAGCTTGGATTTAGTGGGAGCTCCCCATTTTGGGGTCCTTGCTTAACGCAGTAGCTGTATTAACCCCACTGCGTGCTGGTCCTGAGCAGGAATATGCATTTCTTCGGTTAAAAACATGAGGTTTAAATCAATTTAGTGGTGAGTGGAGTGATGTGATTGCAGGGTTACAGCGTGTTTGTGCTGTGCATTAAAGCACACATCTGTGTTTAATCCCCCCCCTCCTCCCAATTGCATCCAGCACTGATGCTCCAGCATCCCTTTTTGGGCACAAAGGGATGGAGACACCCATGGGCTTGGAACATGATGGCGCTGCCATGGGTGCTGTGGCCTGCCCTGCCTGCCCAGGCTGTGGGTGCTGCATCCATCCATGGGAGATGGTTGGTGCCATCAGTGATGGGAGCGCTGCTGCTGCTGCTGCCCCGGGACGGGGGGGGGGAGATGCTCTTTAATAGCTACAAAACACGGTGTAATCTGAGTTCTTCTTTCTCTGCAGCAAACCTGGTGCTGCACCAGACTGTGGAGCGCATCCACGTGGGCAAGAAGTATGGAGACATCCCTCGAGGCATCTTTGTAGTGAGAGGAGAGAACGTTGTTCTGCTGGGGGAAATAGTAAGTGAGGGGCCCTGACACGAGTGTGGTGCCCATCAGTTACAGGTGGTCCCATTGTGAGGGCTGATGGTTGAGCCCCCATGGATTTGCTGCCCAAGAGCCCTCTCCCATGGACACTGTGCTGGGGGTCCCTGGTTGTGTCCCCCCCCACATCGCCTTCACCGTGTGCCCTGCGCATGCAAACCTATGGGCAGGGTGGACCCAAGCCCTTGCTGCCTGTGTGCCAGCTCCTGCTCACCTCAGCATCCATCCTGCCCCGTTAACATCGGGAAGAGCAATGGAATGGGCTGCCCGTGGCACCGCTCGGCCCCGGCAGCATCATCCCGGCTCCGAGAGCCTGGAGCATCCCATGGGCTGAATGGGCTCTTTGTGTGGCAGGACCTGGAGAAGGAGAGCGATACCCCCCTGCAGCAGGTCTCCATCGAGGAGATCCTGGAGGAGCAGCGCGTGGAGCAGCAGGCGAAGCAGGAGTCGGAGAAGCTGAAGGTGCAGGCGTTGAAGGAGCGGGGGCTCTCCGTGCCGCGGGCAGACACCCTGGATGAGTACTGAGCCCCAAACCCACTGTTCCCATGTTGGGTTTTCCATGGCACAGAGGAGGAAATGATGCCTTTGGCTCCTCTCCTTGCATGGAAGAAGGAGGAGGAGGAGGAGGAGGGGAGGCAGGCGCCTGCCCCGTGCACTGGGGAACACAAGGGAGTGTGTTCAGGAGGAAACCCCCTTGGTCCTTTTGGGTTGGTTTTGCTTTAGTTCCTCTTCCCGTGCCTCGGGGGGAGTTTTCCCTTGGCCTGTAAATAAACCCTCAGTCTCCATAGCAACGGCTCTGCCTCTGGTCCCCTCCATCCGCATCCCAGTGCAGGACCCTCTGGAACAGGGAGAGGGATGCTGGTAACCCCCAGCTCAGCTGAGTGCACTGATGGCCTAATTAGTGCTAATGAAGAGCTGCTGCAGCATCTCCTCCTCTCAGTGCAGCAGGGAGGGGGGTCCTTTGGGTTGTGCTTGTCCCCATCCTGTTGGGAGCCAGCTGGGATGGGATTGGATTTGGGCAGGAAACAGCAAACCTGGGTGCTGAGTGGGGGCTTTTCCTCTTCCCAAGCACCTCGGTTTGGCAGGATGAGCCCAGCTGATGCTGAGTGCACAGGGGTGAAGCCCCCATAGGCAGGGTTGGGGTCCCCTCTGCCCCACAGCTCCCTTCTTCTGGGGGGGGAGAAGCAGCCTCCCCATGGGCTTTGTCCGGGTGGGATAGGGTGAGTTTGGTGGGAGGACAGGAAAAACAAGGGAATTCCCTTTGTGCTTTAACAACAATGGAATAAAAGGGGGGTTGGAGCTGGTGGGGAACCCAAATCCCCTGGGAGGATGCAGCTGATTTGGGGCTGAGAGGGGGGTCTTGTACCCGGGATGAGGGTGGGATGGGGCTCCCACCCATTAGGATTGCGGGAGGAGGATGAGGATGATGGGAATGAAGTCTGCAGCGCTGCCCCTTACATCAGCCTGTGATGCCCTGGGGGTGGTCCCACTCCCATCCTGATCCATCCCCATCCCATTCTCACGCTGCATCCTGGATTCCCTCCCCATAGGCATCGTGGTGGTGCTGGTGCCCTCCCCAGGAGGGAGAGGTTTGACGCTAGCACCAATGCCTCCATCCCATGGGATGCACAACCCATGTGGGCTGGAGCCTTGTGCGAGCAGGAGCTGGATAAAGGGGTTTTGGCCTTGGGATGAGGTTGATGTCAGTGTGTGATGCTGCAAGAAGTGCTGGGATCTGGGAAGCAGAGCAGGATGAGGGCTGGGTCTGAGCTACCTTCACCAAGGGCTGCCTTGGGGCACACCAGGATCATGTATGTCCCTTTATCCCCCTTCCCTTTGAGGTCCCCATCACGGGGCTCAGCCAGGGAGATGCGTTGGGATGCAGGGGATGAGCATCATTGGTATCATCGCAACAGACAGGTTAAAATCCAAGGGGATCATTGGGTGCTGGTGCCTACAGAGTCCATTGGAGAGGCAGGGAGGGAATTGTGTAGGGAATGTGCCCCTGAGCCTGCCCTCTGTGAGGTCAAGGATGCCCCTGGATGATGGATGCAGGGTCCTTGCCTTCACCCTTGGTATGGCAGCGGCGGGTGGTGGTACCCAGCTGAGGATGCTGTTAACTGGGGCAGATGGGACAGGAAAGGTGTTTGGTTCCTTATCCCATCCTTATCCCTAAACACAATGAGAACGTTCACAGACCTGCACGTAGGGAACTGTGATGCTTCTCCATCAGTTAAAGGACATTTCAGACACTTCCAAACCAACCTGGAAGTGTTGGAATTGCTCTTTCCTCTGAGGAACCCAGTGCAGAGCCTGTTGGAGGCTGCAGGGACCTGGTTTAGCTGCGTTTCTTCATCTCTGCCCCCAGCACCTTTGGTTCCCATTCACCCCCATTCTGTGCCTGTGTGAGCAGCATCAGTGCTGGGACATGGGGGTCTGATGGGGGTTTAGAGGCTGAAAGGTGCAGATGGAGCCGTGTGGTGGCTTTTGGAGGGACATGGGGGGTGTTTTGTGGGGTTCTTTTGCCTCCCCCTGTGTTTTTCCCCCCCTCCTGCCCCACAGCTGTGGGTTGGAGGGCTCTGCACCCATCCCACAGTGGGGCTGTGCTGTATCCCCTTGCTGGTACACAGGATGCGGCTCCCCTTGTCACCAGCGGTGGGTCCAGGCAAGTCACTGGGGCCTCATCCTGCCCGATGCAGGAGGGTGATGCTGGATGCACGATGGGCTCCATTGGCCAGAGCATCCTGGACAGGCACCTTCCCAGAGCCTGGGGTAGGTGCTGGGACCCGAATCCCATCCCTGATGCCTGTGGTACCCAGGATGCTGTTGCTCCTTAGCACCCAATGGGTGCTGAGCTGTTGTCCCTTCACTTGCCAGGCACACTGGATGCACCCCTGAGGGGTGGGTGAGGGTCCTGGGGGGGTGTCCCAGTTAAACCAGTCCCTGCTATGGGGGTTTTGGGTGGGTTTGGGCACAGCCTACTCCAGGCAGGGCTGGGGTCCATGGACCATGTTGGGGGGTCCCCCCTGCTCTCCATAGACCCACTGGGGACCCTGGAATCACCCCTGTGTGGGGCTGCAGCACTGGGATTATAGGGGATGTCCCTATAAACACTTGGGATGGGGATGGTGCAGCTCAGCTGGCTTCCCCTTGATCCCCCCATCACCTCCATCGATGGGAGCACAAGGTCCTGATGGAGAACAGCAGCGGCGCCGGAGAGGAGCCATCCATGGGAGCAACGGGACCATTCCCACATGGCAGGTGGGACCCAACCCATTCCTTATGGGAGCAGAGGGAGGCGATGGGGCTGCGTTGCTGCTTGGTGCCCTCCCCGTTGTGCAACAGCAGGGGGAAGGTCAGGTCCTGCAGGAGGGAGCCGGGGTTGACGTCAAGGGAAGCAGCTGGGGATAGGAGCAGGGCCATAACTCATCCCGGGAATGGGGTTTTCATCCTTGACTCTTATCACTGCTCTGCATTGCCCACTGCTCCCAGCCCCAGGGGCAGATAAACCGGCCTCGGGGGGGGAAGGGGGGGAGGTTCAGGGCTGTTCCCAGCCCCACAGCGTGCCCCATGTTCAGCTGTATAGGGCTGACAGAGGGGTCGCGTTGGTGTGGGGCCATGTGGGGTCTTCCAGCACCGCTCGTGTCTATGCGATGTGCACGAAGCATCCCGGTGTTCCTGCATCCCGGGTACCACCACCCCAGCGGTGCTGGATGTCCTGTTCTGCGTTTGGACCTATGGGTCAGGGTCTAATGTGATGGCACAGGAGTGGGGTCTGGTCCCTATGGGGGGGAGTCCTGGTGTGTTGGGAGCTGAGGATGGGCTGAGCCTGGCTCTGGTTGTTGCATCCCGGCGAGACGACAGTGCTCTCCATTACCTTATTATTATCCATTGTGATCTGTTCTTATCCCTTCTCCGGATCTTTATCCATTGCTGCTCCATTCAGGAGCACGCCCCCAGCCCTGTGCAGCGAGGCAGCTGCGCAAGGAGCCAGCTCCGACCTTGGCCCCGTGGGTCCTGCCGTAAGCGATGGCTCTTATCTCCCTGCTGACGAGCCAGCATCCTTCAAGCACCGTACTTAAGGCTCAGCCCCCGCGGGGCTGGGGCAGAGCAGCTCCCATCACCGAGAGGGAGAGAAGCAGGAACCGGGATACCCAAGGGCTGCATCCGCACGGGAAGATGCTGCCGGCGACGTTCAAGCTCTGCGCTGCCATCTCCTACCAGCACCTGCGGAACATGAGGGGTGAGGGTGCGAGGGAGGCCACGGGGATGGTCTCCCCGTCCCACGTTGGGGTCGGGTTGTGGCTCCGCCACCTCTTTGGTCCTGTGATGGGGGATGAGGGGGGGGGGGGATACGCTGGTGCTGATGTGGAGGGTGGCGATGGGATGCAAGGATTTAGTGTTGTGTTAATGCAACTCTACCTTGCCCCTTGGTACCCATGGGATTGCCCCTCGGTGTTTTCATGCTGGGATCTGCTCCCCGGGGAGGTCCTGTGGGGACAGGGCAGAAGCAGAGGCTTGTTCGAGGTGTTTGAAGTGGGGGTAAAAGCGGCCGCCCCAGTGCTGGGGCTGACGCTGCTCTGCCCCCCAGGTCTCAGAAGACAAGCGGCCCTCACCATCGGCCAGGAGCTGAGCAAGCTCGTGTGCCGCAGCCCCGGCCCCGGGCCCTGGATCAGCCACGTGCGCAGGAGGAGCTCCTTGCTCAGTGAGTGACCAGCGGCGGGGTCTGACCCTGTCCATGTGTCCATGCCCCTTTTCCATCCCCTTTTCCATGCCCCTTTTCCATGCCCCTTTTCCATGCCCCTTTTCCATGCCCCTTTTCCATGCCCCTTTTCCATGCCCCTTTTCCATGCCCCTTTTCCATGCCCCTTTTCCATGCCCCTTTTCCATGCCCCTTTTCCATGCCCCTTTTCCATGCCCCTTTTCCATGCCCCTTTTCCATGCCCCTTTTCCATGCCCCTTTTCCATGCCCCTTTTCCATGCCCCTTTTCCATGCCCCTTTTCCATGCCCCTTTTCCATGCCCCTTTTCCATGCCCCTTTTCCATCGCCTTTTCCGTCCCACTTTTCCACCGCCCTTTTCCGTCCTCTTTTCCGTCCCCTTTTCCACCCCCCCTTTTCCGTCCCCTTTTCCACCCCCCCTTTTCCACCCCCCCTTTCCCACCCCCCTTTCCCACCCCCCTTTCCCACCCCCCTTTCCCACCCCCCTTTCCCACCCCCCTTTCCCACCCCCCTTTCCCACCCCCCTTTCCCACCCCCCTTTCCCACCCCCCTTTCCCACCCCCCTTTCCCACCCCCCTTTCCCACCCCCCTTTCCCACCCCCCTTTCCCACCCCCCTTTCCCACCCCCCTTTCCCACCCCCCTTTCCCACCCCCCTTTCTTTATGGTGACTGTCACCATCAGGGCTGTATGGAGTGGTTGCTCATGGGCAGCCCATGCCTGTGAAGCGCAGGCAAAGCAGGGGCCGAGTTCCCTTCCCCATGCCTGGAGCAGTGGATTTGGTGCCCCGGTGGCGCAGGAGTGTTCTTACCCTGCTGCTGTGTGACCTGGTGCAGGCTCAAGGCTGGAGGAGAAGCCCTTCAGCGACGTGGAAATGTCCTACATCAAACAAGGGGAAGAAGCGCTCCAGAAATCCCTGAGCATCCTCGGGAACCAGGACGGCTGGAAGATGGAGACGGAGCTGGTAGGTCCCGTGCCCCACTGCAGCCTTCACCCGCTCCCCCTGTCCATGTATGCAATGGGAATCCCCCATTCCCTTCTCCAGCAGAACGGAGACCGAGTGCTGAGCAAGGTGCTCCCGGACGTGGGGAAGGTGTTCCGCCTGGAGGTGGTGGTGGATCAGCCCCTGGATGCGGTGTACAGTGAGCTGGTGGACAACATGGAGCAGATGGGAGACTGGAACCCCAGCGTCAAGGAGGTCAAGGTGGGAATGGGCCCCCCCTTTTCCTGCTCTCAGTGTTTGTCCCTCGGCCCATTGCAAAGGATTTCTCCAGCCTTCCTTTGGGAATGGGGAGGGCAGGATTCATCCTACAGCAGGAGTGAGTCTGTATCGGCTCGAGTGCTCCTTGCTCTGCATGAAACGCACTTGGGCTTCACTGCAGGGTAGCGAAGGCGTTGGGTTAGAGGAGAAACAGCAGCACAGAGCCCCAGGGTGCAGGGAGCATCGCTCCAAACCCCTCTTTCCTATTGGAACAAGAGAAGCATCAAGAGAAACCCCTTCCCTTCGCGGTGCTTTGAGCGCTGCTAGAGCTAACGCTGGACCCCTGAACTTCCCAGATCCTGCAGAGGATTGGCAAGGACACGGTCATCACCCATGAGAAGGCAGCTGCTCCCCCCGGGAACATCGTTGGACCCAGGGACTTTGTGAGCGTCCGGTGCTCCAAGAGACGCGGCTCCACTTGTGTCCTGGCTGGAATGGCCACGCAGTACGGAGCCGTGCCGGAGCAGGAGGGCTTTGTAAGGTAACTCCCACTTTAGGGTCACTTACATGGAATGGCAGAGCCACAACGTGAGCTTGGAGCAGTTGGGTTTGTCTTAGGTGGGAGCTGTTGAAGAAATCCCAATCCATGGCATCAGCTGGGTTTAAAGTCACCTCAGGAGATGATGCAGTCCGACCTCGAGCAGGCTCCACAGGGAGCAGGCAGGCTTGGAATGGCTCTCTAGAGCCCTAAACCATGCTGAGGTTTAGTTTATGGCCATGGCTCCTCATCCTGGTGCTGAGACCAGTGGAAAGGGTCTGGTACCCACATCTCCCCAGGGATGCTTTCAGCCACTGCAAGGACATCATGGGGGGGACACTGGGTGCAGCAGTGAGGCTGAGAGTGGTCCCCAAGGGCAGAACTCGGGGTGTGGGGGGACCAGGACAGGACACAGAAGCCCAGCACTGCTCTTTGAGGCTGAAAGCTGGTCCCTAACGTGCACCCCTGCCCCTCACAGAGCAGAGAATGGCCCCACGTGCATGCTGCTGCGCCCGCTGTCCGGCCGGCCCTCGCACACCAAGCTCACTTGGCTGCTCAGCATCGACCTCAAGGTGAGCTCCCCTTCCAAGGCCACGAGCAGGAGGTGGGGTTTGGGGCAGGTTCCACTCACGGGCTCTGTCTCCTCTCCTCTCCTCTCCAGGGTTGGCTGCCCAAGAGCATCATCAACCAGGTCCTGGCCCAGACCCAGGTGGACTTTGCCAACCACCTCCGGCGGCGCCTGGCACGGACGGCGGCCCCACAGTGCTGACAGTGCTTCAGCCCGGGGTGGGGGGGATGAAGGAGGGGAGCTTGTATGGGCAGACAATGTAATCAGAGCCTGTGCTCATTAACCGAGGCCTTTAATAGTAGACACTGCTAATTAACCCCTGAATAAAGCCGCCTTTATTGAACTAAGGAGTTAGCAGGGGCCTGAGCATAAACTTCTGCTAAGTCAAGTCCTGCATTTGCTCCAATGCCCCCTGCAACCTCCCTAATGCATGGCTCTTAATAAATAAAGCTCCAATGATGGGTATTTACTATTAAAGGCCTTGGTGACTTAGTTGTTAGGGAGGTCCCAGGCACCCGAGTGGGAAGGTAGAAGGATGAGCACAGGGACTTGCTTTAAACCCTCATCTTTCCCTCTCCTCCTTCCCCCAAACCCCAGCCCTAAGAGTTCTGTTCCCTCCTCCCCGAGTGAAGCAGCTCTAATTTATTGTTCCTGTACAGACACACACCACGTGTCCCGTTATTTATTCAGTTAAAGCTCTGTAATGACCATCGCTGGCACGAGGCCTTGGAACTTGGCAATGCAGTGAGGAGGAGGAGGAGATCTTCACCCTGAGAGACCTCCAGAGCGCGGCTGCTTTGAGTGGAAATCTCATTTTTAACAAGAAAAAAAACAAAACTTTATTTTTAAACTAGTCTCCAGTTTGTGGGGAGGGGGGGGGGGTATATAACCTGTGAACAGAAGCCCAGATTTCAGCCCTGCGTGCAATGGTCTTGCCCCAACACAGTCCTCGTGGCTGGGAGCTGGTGTTCACTGCACAAAGCACCCAGCCCAGATGTTACCTTCTTTAGCCACACTGGGAAGTTACTGAAGCCTCCAAGAGATGCCCACAACCAGCATCCTACCAACTAGAACTGCCCTCACTGAGCCTCCAGCCCAGGGGCAGAGCAGGAATCCCTTGCGGGTACCAAAGATACACAATACCTGTGTTGTTTCCCCCTCCTCCCCAGAGCTGTGTTGGCTTCAGCTCGTTTGCTCTGAGTGATGCATGAATAAAACCCACTTGCTGGAGCCCCACGGTGTGCTCGGTGTTAGCACTGTGCTGCCTGCTTGCCTTATGGCTCCCAGGGTGGGCTCCGTCTCCCATCCACTTCTGTCTCCACGTGATAGAGCACATCCGCCAGCGTGTGCTCCACAACGGCGCCCCAGCCCATGTCACTCATCTGCAAAGGGAAGGAAAGACAGGCTCAGGATAAGGAGGGGGTTATCCCATCGTAGAGCAGCATTCCAGGGCTGTTTCCCTCCTCAAACGCTCGTGGTAGTGGTGGGGAAAGGTTCAAGTGTTTCCTCAACCAAGAGAAGCGGCTAACACAGGCATGAACAGGGGCTTTATGACCTGTCAAGAGGAACAAACCTTAACTAAATAGCCTAACAAATCACTCAGCACTTACCCATTTATAAATACAATCCTTTTGGCTCTCCTGGCTGAGGCCAAGGACTGAAGAGGACAGATACAGGCTTGGTATAAATCACCTCCCACCAGCACGATGCTCGCACCCACCTTGTGTTTAAAGAGGGTGAGGTGGTGACAATGCGTGAGGGTATAAAGCTTCAGTCAGTACTTACTGGCCTGTAAGTGATGTCTCGGGGTGGATACTTGAAATATGGCCCAAAGTTTATAGAAACCTGAGGAAGACACATCTGGCATGAGATCAACAGGCAAAATGCTTCAGTCCCCATCCCCTCCTCCTCCTCCTGCAAGACCATGGAACAAGCTGCCCTGGCATGGAAAACTCAGCGCTTGGATAAAGTCCCACCAGCAATGTTATCCCAGAGCTGCTCACTAAACTCATTCCCTGATTTCCTCTTTATGTGCTCGCCCTGCTCCCAGCGTGCCCACGCGCTGGGCATTACTAAAACCATGCTGGGAATCACCTTGCAATGATCTGCTACTTACAGTGCAGCCTTTGTACAAAGAAATAGCAGGAAAATAGACTCCTTCAAAGATGTCTTTAAAGGCAACTCCTTGGCTGACACCATTCTTGAAGAAGATGATCTGAAAAGAAAGATGAAGAGGGGGATTTTTCCACCCATGCCAACTTCAGGAGCTACAAAGCAAGCCTCAAGAGGCAGCTTCACCTACGCCCTCCCCTTTACCTGAAGCCAATCACTTCAGTGCCAGCAGTAGCATCACAAGCAAAGGGTGCAGCTGGTTTGCTAAATTCCCTTTTATTGTTGCTCTAATAAAAGCATTCTTGGTTCTGATGAAGACCCAATGCTCAGCCTCCCTTTGTGCTCATTAAATGCAAGCAATTAATGCACACACTAAGCCCCTCTTAGCAAGTTCTCTGCTCTTCCTGAAGCTCTGCATCCTTCCCTACCAGCATTTAACTGACCTGGCTTCCAGGTGCTTGCTTCAGGCTCTTCTCTGCTTTGTCCACAAAGTCCTTCTCTTCAAAGTACAGGTAGCTTTTGAACTTGATGAGGGCCTGAAAGAGCAGAAAACATCCCCTTCAGAAGGGAATCAGAACAACTGCTACCTTTAGTGACACATTAAAGACCCACAGGAGCCCTGCTCTGGGCCAGGCGTGCCTGTGGGGTCACAGGAGAGCGATTCACACATCCCAAGTATCTGAGAGCCAGGAGGGCAGGAGGAGATCAAACAAGAGGTGGGCAATCTCCCTCAGCAGCCCACATAAAGTCCCCCTTGACCCCTCTGCCACGAACCACAGGTTAACGTTTAATCCCATTGTGAATTCCACACCTCACCTTATCTTTGTAAGTGTCAGGCAGGGATTTGGCAGTCTCAGTATCTTCTGGAAGACTGATGTAAAATCCCAGTATATCCCCCTGCCCATAGCCAGATGAATAGTGTTTCCCTATGGACTGGTGAAACTTGGTTCCCTTCTTGCTGCGCCAGGAGTAACTGAACTTGTCATATCCCAGAGGTGCCTGGAGGTTCCCTGTGGAAGCCAACAGGAACATCACACCCTGTAGCAGGAGCACCGCTGTGGGTCCCAACTCAAGTTTTGGGGGCAGTAATTACATCCAGTTAACAAATACAGCTCCCCTTAGCACAGACACATCGACTACAGCACGCAAAGTGTACAGGATCCACCTGTACTGCAGCTCTGCACTGTTTAGATCACCCAGAAAGAGTTTCCCCTTAAGAAAAGCAGTGAATAAGCAGCCAAGCTGATGCCTTACCCCCCTCAGGTCTAAGTTACTGGGGAAAGACATACAGGAACCAGTTGGTAAAACTCTTTACCTAATGGCTGTGACCAGCCCAGTCGGGCAGCAGTGTCTGGAGGCATCTCATCCATGGATATTTCAAAGTACCAGGCTCCTTTCCTCACTCCATGTGAGGCTCGTACCATGGAATAGCCCTTCTCCCCGATAACAGTCAGTCTGTCATCCGAGATCTTTAACTGAGGAGCTGTGGGAGGGAAGAGCTGATGTGTGAGCTCTGATGTGCAGAGGAAGGCAAAGGAAGAGCAGCAGTGGATTTAAGGTTTACACCTCAAAGCAATGACACCTCAAGCATCAATAAGCACTCAAGTGAGGTGACAGAAGATGCCCCCCTCACCACCACCACCACCAAGGACCACTTATACAACCTGCAAGCCTTGTACCTCGGTCGTGCAGTGCTAGGAGCACCCGTTCATAGAGGCAGGCTCTGTAGAGGTCCCCAGGAATTGGCTTCCCTGCCCAACAGTCCAGCTCCAGCTTTTCCGGGTCAGGAGCATGGGGGTCAGGCTCTGCCAGGATGTATCGATACCCATCCTTATTGAAGGGGTGCTCCAAGGGGTAACCATGGGGTGGCAAGCGCTGGGCGGAAAAGAGCGGATCACTGCGGAACACAAAGGCTCACGTTGGCATCTCATGGTGGCTCCAGTTCAGTCCCAGGACAAACCCAACCATTCCTGCAGCACTGCCAAGGCCATCACTAACCCACAGCATTGAGGGCCTGTTCCAGTGCCTGAGCACCCTTTCAGGGAATAAACTTCTCCTCATCTCCATCTAAACCTCCCCTGGTGCAGCTTGAGGCCCTTTCCTCTTGTCCTACCACTTGTTCCTTGGGAGAAGAGATCAACCCCACCTCACTCCATCCTCCTGTCAGGCAGTTGTAGAGAGCAATAAGGTGTCTGTCCCCCCCCGAGCCTTCTTTTCTCCAGACTGAATCCCCTCAGGTCCCTCAGCCATTCCTCATAGGGCGTATTCTCCATCATCAGCTTTGCTGCCCTTCTCTGGACCCAAAGCAGCATCTTAAGGCACCAAAAGCCAAGCTGTGCCTCTGACCAGCACTGAGGGGACCCTCGGTGTTGTGCCCCAGCACCATTTTCCCTCTTACCTCCTGGTTTTCTTGGCCGTTCCCGTGGTCCCTCCATCCTGCTGCTTGCGCTTCGCTCCCCGGCCCTTCCCGCTGCCTCCCGCGGCGATTCCCCCTGGGCACCACCAAGCACAGCACAGTCAAGGGAGACGTGATGGGACAGAGCCCGTGAGCACGGAACCTCCACTGACACAAAGGGGCAGAAGCAGCCCGACTGCAAGCAGTTCACGAGCTCAAAAGCCTCCCACAGTGAGCCAAATCCAGCACTTCCATGGAGCTTCCAGTCCGCTCCTGAAGTGGCCCAATGCAAAGTGGAAGCTGAGTGAGATTTTATCAAGAGATCAAGTTTTTAAGGTGAGAATCCAGAACCTTTTCTGTCTGGGATCCACTTCCCAAGCATTATTATTTGTTTTCATGGAGATCCCAGGCACGGTTCACATTGATTGCTGTGACGGCAGCAGAAACCCAACCTACAGCACACACTGCCTGATCAGGAAACAAAGCTATCACCCCCCTGCCACACTGTGCTGGAGAAACCCTCTGACACCAGAGTGCAATAAGCACTTAACATCCAAATTCCCATCTATAAAACAGAAAACACTTCAGTTGATTGAAAATGAAAAGCAGGAGGTGTTTCTCTTCAGTATGACCCAAGTCAGGGCTGCAATTGATGCGGCTTCTCTTCTACTCCACTTGCATTTATGAGTAATGAT